CACCCACACACACGCATGCACGTACACACTCACTGCCCCGGGTCTGTGAGCATCATAAGCCTGATCAGCTCCAGGCTCAGGAGGGATTAGCTGTCTATAGAGGCCTGTAATGGACACTCCGGGGACCGGGGCTGGGAAGTGGGGCCATGCGGGGAGAGGGCGCCTCATGTGGACTCAAGGTGCTGCTCTGCCACACAGCTGGCATTCAACAAGCACTTGCTATGCCCCAAGCACCTGCCTAGGGCTTTACTTTCCACAACACATGCGTGAAGAGGAACCATTCTTATCCCCTATTTGATACACGAAGAAACAGGGCTCAGGAAGGGTCCGCAGCACGTCAGGGAAGCCGAGAGCCCGTGCACGCTCTGCTGTTCCTTATAGAGATATGAGGACAGAGGGCCTACCTCCAAGGGTAGGACTCAGGGATTCTGGAACCTCAGGGACAGTCACACAGTTTGTCAGGGACCAGCTGGGCCGGACGCTGAGTTCAGGGGCAAGGACCTGGTCAGAGGCCAGTGAGAAGGGAGCTCCGATGCGGTGATCTTGAAGAAGGGGCGGAGAGTTCAAACCTCAACTTCTCCGAGAATCCTTGGGATCCATAGATCTTCCTGGCCTTCACAACTTCATGAAATCTGGAGGGAATCTACCACCCAGGCACCCCTTCTCTTCAGAGAGCTGGCATCCTCAATGCCCTCACCCCTTTCTCCACACCTTGGACCATGCCTGCGCCTCCTGGAATGCCTTCTCCTTCCCCATGCCCCATGCAGCATACCGAGCTCCCTTCTCTGTCTTCCTGGACAAGTAGCCTGTGCCCGACTTGGTCCCTGCATGAGCCAGAAGGCTGTACTCAGGCCATCCACGGCCCCTGGGGGATTGGGGAAGTCTAGAAGCCATGCTTCCAACCTCCTATGCCCAAACGCCTTTACCGAATACCCAAGAGCCCCCACATACCCTGGCCCACCCACAGAAGATGCCCAGCTCAGAAGCCTTCCCTGCAGGGTGAGATGAACCATCTACGTAAGTAACGCGGGTCCAGGGGAAGCTGAGACTGGAGAGATGCAGGAAGGGCCTGAGCAAGTTCAGGGGGAAGAGGCCTGGAGCAGGGAGGTACAGGCAGAGACAGAGACAAAGACAGGCCAGCAGCTGGCAGGGAAGAACCTCAGACACTCAAGGACAGAAGGACAGAGATGGGCCCCAAGATGGACAGAGATGGGAATGTGGGTAGAGGGGGGCAGCTTTGTGCTAGGGCCTGGGAAGGGGGCGGGACCCCTGCAAAGTCAGTGGCCAAGGTGGGGAGACCAGGGCTTCTGGGTGGGCTCCCAGTGCCGTCACTGGGGGCCTGGGTGACTTGGGCAGGTGGCTGGGCCTGCCTGTGTCCCCACTGTCCTTTCTGTTACAGGGACCATGCACCCACTCTCAGGTGTAGCATTGCTGCTTCTAAGGTTGCTGCAAAGATAAGGCTTGGTGTACAGGCCTGGCTCCTCCGGAGGAGGCTAAGGTGGCTACTGCATGAGGAGACCTTAACCACGCAGCTGAGCATAGTGCAATCCGTGGCCATGCATCAAGGCTGTAGGAATCGCCACCACTGCACCTTCCTTTAGTGAGCCTCTTCTCATCTTGTCAGCGCTGTGCTGTGCACTGACAACCCTGGGCCCTCCCTCCTCCCAGCTGGCCCTCCCCACTGTCCAGCCTGCACCCCTCCAGCAAGCTCAGGGCCTGCAGGGAGGGAGGGACAGCATGCACACTCCCACCCTGCCAGAGCCTTCCTCCTGTGCTCACTGTTAGCCCAGCGCGGCCAGAGCAAGGCCCAGCTCCGTCAGGCCCGCTCCATGAGGACTCCCAAGCCATGCGCCTTCAGGGGCCAGCAGGCCAGATCCCCACCCCCTCGGCTGTCCTTCTCCGCAGCCGCCCCATCCCCCGAGGGGCCCAGCCTGCCAATCTCTAATCCTCACCGTCATCTGACCCAGGCTCCACCCTACATTGGCTTTGCCTAGCCACCCTTCTGAGGCCCAAAAATGGACACAATCATTTATAGAGGGTTCGACAAGCCAAACGCAATGGGAAGATGACCTCACGGTGCCCACAGGCTCGAGATCCCAGCACACACAGTGCACCCCAGGCATTCCGGGGGCAGTGGCTGGGGGGCCAGGAGCAATGGTGCCATGCTGGCAGGTCCGGGCAACCCTTCCAATTTATTCTCATGCCCTCCTCACACCAAGGCCACAGGCCATGGGACCTTCAAGAAAAAGCTCCAGGCAGGCCCAGGACGAGGCACGGGGCCAGTGTCCAGGCAGGATTTGATGAATGAGTGACGGCAGAGAACAAACAACACAAATCAATCCACAATCAGCCTTCGTCAGGCCCAAATCCCTTGTTCAAAAACGTTCACTAAGCACCGACTGGGGCCAGTTAACATCCTCAATGCACACACCTGGATGTGTGCCCTGCCCTGCCCTCAGGGAGCAGCCAGACCAGAACAGTCAAAAAAGAGCTGGCTTGGGGACCCTAGGGCCCAGGGTACAAGAGTGCAGGCTGCCCTTGACCACACTGTCACCGCCACAGTCTGGATGTTTGGGCTGGAAGTGGATGCGGGAAGGCTGGGGGAGAAGGGTGGATGAAAGATACGGGGCCTTCTTCCTACACCAGGACGCCAGGACTCGCCCGGCCTCCCAGCACAGCTCCTGCCATCCTTGCTCAGGAAACGCCTTCCTGTGGCCACAGGGAAACGAATTGCCCCATGACCCACTGATTCCACTAAGGCAAGGTAGGTGTAGTGGTGGGGCTGCCTGTAAGAGACTAGGATTCCAGTTGCATTGACAGTGGGAGTTAGCTGCCGTACTGATCACTACCCGAAGACACTGAGGATGACCCTCCCGCGATGGCACAGACTCTCCAGGAAGGCACACAGCAGAGGCTGCTGTGGGTTGAGCAGGGCCTGCATCCCAAAGAGAGGCGAAAGCTACTTTCAGAGACCTGGCCGGGATGCCTGTCATGATGGTCACACTGCCTTGGTTTCTGATGGGGGGGAGGGTCCCTAACTAGTCTCCAGCAGGCAGAGAGCAGCTGGAACACTAAACAACTCCAGTCTCAGGAAGCCCGGTATGGGCAAGGTCAGCTGTTGGCCAAGACCAGCATGCATAGCTGACCAACTGTTAGCCAACTGCCCGTGGCCACAGAACAGGGCTCAAGCGAGAGAGATGGTGGCTCAGGGGCTCAGTGATACATCACCACCTCTCTGGAGGAGACACAGCCCATGCCTACTGCCCTGAGAATGACATCAAAGATGCCGCTGCAGAGAAAAGACAACCAGGGCAAAGGGGACACACCAAGAGCCTCGGGGAGCCAGGAAGGAGTGGGACACCAGTGGGATGGGGGCAGGGAACGCATCTCAGCTAACCAAGCTTCCCATTCATCGCCCTGGCCCTTTAGGGAAGGAAGCAGGCTCTGGCCCAGGGCTGCCTGCTCCAGGCACCCAGATGGATTACCCAGTCATGGCAGCGGGGAGCAGGGGTGGCTGCATCTGTGCTGCCACGGCCAACCCCCCCACCCCACAACCTGAAGTCTTCCCAGCCACCAGCCAGCTATTCCTGGGGCTTTAATCCCTCCTCCTCCTCCTCCTCCTCCTCCTCCTCCTCCTGCTCCCCTGGGGTGGGGGGTGGGGGAGCTGGGTCTGGGCAAATCTGGAGCTTAGCTGAGGGCCCTTCCTTCAATGAACACCCACCCACCTCTTTAGCCAGGAAACACAGGGATGAGCGGTAGGACTCTGAGGGAGGTATAGGGAAGCTCTAGGCGCCCCCCTCTCCCCCCTCCTCCAGCAATCACGTGGTTGCATCCTTAGGGAGCCCGCGGGTCTCAGAAGCAAAAGTCATTGTTTATAAACAGCCACCAGGCCTGGCAGGGGAAGGCCGGCCTGTCCCTGCGCCTCCACCCGGCGGCAGCGGTCGCGCGGCGGGTGGGAGAGGTGGCAGGCCTGGCCGCGGGGCACTGGGGGGCCACCCGGGCAGAAACCCAGATTCTGCAATCTCAGATTTCGGAGTCGGAGTCGGCAGGGGAAGTGGCGTCAGCAGCTGGCGTGATCCAATTCAATAAACCAGAGGTGGCTTACGATAGACAGCTGACCGGGTGCCGACCCCCACCTCTCAATCCCTGCATTTCCTGCACGCTCTGGGCACCCTGGGAGGCCCCGGCTCCATCCCCCACTCCAGCTCTCCGCAAGGAGGGGTCGGGTTTCCTGTGGCGCCTTCCACGCCCCTCCTCTAGGCCAGCTCCCCACCCGGCGGTGGGCTCCCAAAGCCAGTGCCCCCACCCGCTCCCCGGCCGCCGGAAACGCTAAGCCCCTGCTGGGGCGAGGGCACCTCCTTGCGGGGTGCACAGCCCCGGGCTCCCGGTGGGGCCAGGCTGGGCGGGAGCTTCCAGGCCGCAGACACCTCTCGGGAAAGGAAACCCCATCCCTCCTTCGGCCCGCGGAGAACGAAAGTGGAGAGGCAGTGGGAAAGAGGGAACTGCGGGTGCCGGTTCGAGAAGCAGCCTTGGGAGTCCGGGGGAACAGTGGCCCCGCGGGTGGAGAGACATACTCCCTCTCGCCCCAGCGCCGGCCCCGCCTGGGTTGCCTGCATGGGCCTGGAGGGCGGGGGGTCACCACCTGGCCTCCCAGCCTCCCGGCCCTTGGCCTCCAAAGCGGGTTAGCCTGGAGCGCGCGCCTGAGAAAATCCTGGAGCAGGGCCGGCCACTGCTCTGCAGCCGAGCCACGAAGGTGCAAAGCGAGGCCCTGTCCTGCCCTGGCCGGGTGTGGGGAGACAGGACGCAAACCGAAGAGGGCACCCAGAGCGCCGGGAGACGCAACCTGGGGACCCTGAAGCCCCTCGAAATTGCTCCTCTGGAGGTGACAGCGTCAGATCCCCGCGGAGGACCAGGCCCCAGGGTCGGACGGTAGGGGGACAGGTGGCCGGGACTGTGCGGCGGCTGGGACTCCGCGGCGGCTGGGGATCCGGCTCTCTCACCTTCTCCTGCGCGCGGGTGAGCTTCTTCTGCACATTGCTGGCGATCTTTCCCGCCGTCACCCCTTTACTGCCCATCTCTGCCATCGCGGCGCAGGCCTCGCCCGGTGGCAGGGGCCGATCTCGCGCGGGGAGATCTTGCGCGCCGCGCTCCCAGCCCCCAGCCCCGGCCGCGCGTCCAGACCAGCTGCTGCTCCACGCCGCGCACCCGACAGCGGAGCCAACTGACGGAGGCGGAGCGTGCGCCGGGCAGGCGAGCGAGCCAGCGAGCGACGCGGGGACAGAAGGAGGGAGAGGGGAGGGGCCGGGCCTCGGGCCGCGGTCGGCGCCCCCCGCCCGCCCCCTCCGGACAAGAAGCTGCCTTTTTAAAGGGCCACTCCGGGCGCCGGCACCGCCAGGTCCGCGAGGAGGGAGGGGCGCGCGCGGCGCTGGGGCTGCGGCGAGCGGGACTCCCCTGACGCTCCAGCGACACCGCCCCGGGGCGGGGACTAATCCGCGGGCCTGGCGTCTCGGTCTTCCCCGCAAGCAGTAACCTCCTGCAACCCAGGAAAGGAGACTAGGTGGAGGAGAGAAGTGCTTTCGAAATCAAAGAGAAAGTGCGGCCAAGGAGGTGCGGCCCTGAACAGAGGAGCCGCGGCTGCTAGGAGAGCGCGCCCGGAGCCCCCTCCCTTTCCACGGGCTCACCGCCCGCCGGGTGCTCGACGCTCCGCCTCCTCCCGGCCTTAGCCGCTCGAGTTTTCGCCCGGATCCCCTAGGCGCCTCCGGGACATCTCCACGTCTTTGCCTCCGGCGCCTAGCCCAGTACCAACCGGTGCTCGGTCTTCCCGTTCGCTAACAATTTATTATAATAACAACAACCTAGCATTACTGAGCGCTTACTGTGTACTAAGGGGCTTGACAGGCGTTGTTTCATTCGGTCTCCGTGGCCTTAGAGGTAGGTGCTATTACTGTTCCCACTTTACAACTAAGGCGCCGGGATCAGGGAACGAGATCTCTGCGTCTACCACCCAGTTGTTCCACCACTACCCGCGGAGTCGTCTCCTACGCCCAGCAGGAAGGAATGATTAATGATCATTGTTCCTGGGGAAGATAAGGTTATTGCTAGCCAGCTTTGCCAGTAGACCCGTGACACTTGTTTTAAGTTAATAAGTACGTGTTGAGTCTGCTGATACCCACCTCCCATTCAGCCCTAAAACATGTCAGGGGCTACAGCACTTCGCTGCCCCTGGAAATTTCTCAGGAACTGTTGGTTGAGTTGAGCAGAGAGACTGGTCTCGCTGAAGAGGCCTAGACGTGCCTGGTGCACACACAGGAGCCAGGGCTAGGGCCTGCAGGACCCCCAGCCTAGATGTGTATAAGAGACAGGCATGGGCCTGGAGGGCGGGGGGTCACCACCTGGCCTCCCAGCCTCCCGGCCCTTGGCCTCCAAAGCGGGTTAGCCTGGAGCGCGCGCCTGAGAA